GAGCGTGTCGGAGCGATTCGTTCTCGCTCACGGCAAGTGACCGTTGTGTTCAATAAAGCCAGCATTTTAGTCTTTACAAAACAATCCCTTCTTTATAAACTCTCCAGATGCGATGAAAATGCGACCGGCATTAATCCGGTCCAGCGATACTTAGTCAGTGACGATCTCGGCTCTTCAGCCTCTAGCGCTTTCAACCCCTCGTATTAGGTGGCCTGTTGGCGCTTTGAGACTAATGTTTGGAATGTTTTTGCGCCTACAGATGATTTGAAACGAGCGTACGAGCCGTATGACAGCGCTCAGGCGACAAGCAGTGTACAGCTTGCTAAGCCTAGCAAGTACAGCCTGACTGTCGCATACTGGTCGCCATATTGTTTTTAGTGTGTTATCAGTTACGCGAGTTTTCTAGGTCATTGGCTAACACATTTACACGAGTAAAGAGATTAGCCAGACGAGCATTTACAGAAATAAGGGTGTTAAAATGTGAAGTAGGCAGAGGTCAGCGGCGTCTGGATTTCAGCTAAAACGAAGTGTAGGCGTCCAGTCATTTATTATTGCACTCATTCCACATACCTTCAAAAGCTTGCCTGTCGTTTCCCCACACAAAGGTCCTACTTTAGATAACACCCACGCCCTTAGTTTCGGTGCCAAAAAACGGTGGCGAAAAAAAAAAAAAAAAAGAAACCCAGTTGCCGACAGGGTATGAATACAAAGTTACAGGAAATTAACGTGCGTGACTTTGTATCGGTAAAAGTTAAAGCGTTCGTTTTATTTTGAGATGACGTAGGTCTGTAACGCATTCGTTTGCTTTGCAAGTAACGAGTTAGGTATTTCGATACTTTATTTTGGTAACGCCTACAACACTACACTAGTGTTTGTTTCAGCTTTATTTTGCACAAAAACAACGGCGTCGCGTATTGTATAAAACCAAATAGTCGACGAGTTATCGAACAGCCTCAACTTGTCGCAGCATGAGGAACTCGCCTGTCTTGTGCTTTCTTTCACCGATATCGTGTCGCTATATTTTGCCATCTTTCTCTGGGGAACAGCGATGTCGGCGCTTACGGTTTGGCGCGTTCTGTTCCTACCCTGTCACCTAGAGATGAGGAATGCACAGACTGACTTTGGAAAAAAAGCCGCACCTGATGAGCCCGGTCGGCCTGTGTGCGTCCTGTCGCAGTTCCAAGAAGGAGAGCAAGCTCTGGACCAGCTCCTGGGCTCGGTGTCCGGGGACTCCCCTGAGACCCGCGAAGAGTCGCAAGGCGTCGTAGGGACTCAGCCCGTCCAAAAGGCCACCGGACTCGGGGCAGAAGCCCACGCTGGCCTGCCACTGCGCCCATCAATTCAAGATGGCGATCTAGCCGTGCAATAGTACCTCCCCATGACGTTATCGTTCGTGGACTCAAAATACGCTGAAGTTCGACAAGAAACGACGCGTCCGTCTTGGCGTTGTCTTACTCGTTGGTAGATGCGAGATGCGCTGGCGGCCATGTTGGTGCAAGCTAGGCACCCTGCATCCCCTTTTAGAGCTGCTATTGACCTTCCCACAGCACACTCGCTGGACACTCGGTGGGAGGTGCCCACCACTTTAAGACCGAGGGAATATATCTCTCACAACCGAAGAGGCTCATATTTTTCGAGAATAAAGAAGTGTTTGTTCACTCCATCGATCGCATCGGTCGTCACGGTACGAGTATAAAGTTATAATTAGTAATTAGTCACATACTCTAATAAGTAACGTTTCAAATACTCGCCTTTGGCAGCTTATTGCAACTGCGTATTTTTTGCCCGTTGTCTGATTATGTCCTAGATGTTGGAATAATTCAGTGAACAATTCTGCTCCAGGCACTGTCAAAGTTCGGGGAGAAGGCGCCAAATAGGGACGGAGGTGCCGCCTTCCAAGACGTCCGCTGCGGGAGCATGCAGCAAGTTATCGGTAGTCCATGAGGCAGCCTCGGATTCTCGAACGTAAATCAAGATCTCTTCAGACTTGCAGCTTTGAGCGCTTTTGAAGATCCCTCTTAAAGGCGCTCATGGAGTCTGCAGCTCATGGAGTCTGCAGCGAAGCACCGCAAAAAACTGCCCCGTGTTGTTCTCGACTAGGGCGGACTCCAGACAAAACCTTCTCAGCAAATGGCGCAATTTTTTTAATTTTTTTTTCATATGTTGGCAGCTGCTACAGAATAATTAAACGACGGACAACCCACTCATTGGAATGATTCAGGCAAAGCGAATATTAAAAAAAAAATTCCGATAACTACGTATACTAATTTAGTACTTTTCGTTCGTTGCGTGACTTTTGTCGCGGTGAACAGCGCTATCCCCCAAGGAATCGTATCTTTTTTTACGAGTGTTCTATTCAAAAACTATTTTTTTCAGTCATTGGTGCGCCGCACCAATGACTTTTACACAGGTGTACTGGTCCTAGTCTGGCCCAAGTATACTCGCACGGACCGCAACTAATTCAGAAGGCTGCGGAGCGGGGATGCTTGGGTCAGGTTTCTTCTGCTGGCCGACGTTGCAGCGCACTCAACAAACTGTCACTCAAGCTTTCACCACACACAAAGAACAAAACTTTCACGCAGCGCTGTACGAAAGTTTTCTTCCTTGTATGTGTGAAAGCTTGAGTGACCGTTTTTTTGAGTGCGCTGCAACGTCGGTCAACATGAACAGCCAACTCGCCCAATCTTAAGTTCGAACAGCTTTTCTTATGCTGTCAGCTGTCGTGTGAAACTACAGGAATCAAAGAAAGAGTAAAAACGCTTCGGGACAAGGACAGACGGCACAGTTCTTTCAACTAGCAACGGACCTTTACCTCATGTCTCCTTCAATACGTACAGTCAGCACGGAACGAAACCCGAACGCCGGAACGTGTCACCATCCACACAGGCTGCTCCACCTGGAGGGCCCCTGAGAACTAATGAAAATGTGCTGGGGTGCGAGGGTGCATCTGCTCGCCACTCGCGCGGTGCGACTGGGACTTCCGCGTTTCGTCGGTGGCGCGCTGTATGCGCCGTCACTTGGCGTGCTTTTGTGAGCCGCGCTGTCGCCCAATCGACACCGGGCGGCCGATTAACCTGGCTATAGCTCTTTGCGATAGGCCCTGCTCAGACAGGGTGATGAATTTATTCTGCTCCGGACTTGCTACGCCTGGCATATCGGTGGTTACAAAACAAAGCGTCAGCGAGCAATTCCTCGGTTTTTATAAGAATCGACTGATAACATCGCACGAAAACAGAGGCATTGCTTATAAAAACCGAGGCATCTGCGTCGGTTTGTTGCAGCATTTTGTTTTCATAAAGAGTCTGGTTCTGCCAATAAACGAATTTTAGTTCGCCTCTATGACGTTTTACTATTTCTCAGAAACTGCGCGTGGCACGTTGTTTACCGGAGCGTGGATCCGGTGACAAGTCATCAAGCACTACGAATCTTCTGTGCACTAAATGTTTCAACTTTCATTTCGTCTTTGCAACACACAAAGCGATAAATAATGAAAGCGCTGAAGAGACATCGCTCGGCATCAGATACGCAAAGCGATTTACGGCGCTTTGTGTATCGGATGTGACGGCGCTTCCAGGGCATCACCGGCAAAACACGGAAGTCCCAGACGCGCCGCGCGAGGCTCGAGCTCATCTTACTAAAACCCGCACCCACGCACCCCGGCGCATTTTCATTAGTTCTCAGGGGCCATCCAGGTGAAGCAGCCTGTGTCGATGGCCACGCGTTCCGATGTTTGGGTTTCATTTCGTGCTGACTGTACATTCTCCCTCCCAACATATTAAATCGAAGAAGAATATACATGAAAACAGTCGGAAAAAGAAAATACCGAAATAAAGGAATGCCAATTTTTCGAGGGAAGACAAATCAGTTGACGGTCCCCAGTATCTTAATCTTCATATCCATATTCTTCCGTCCGGCATTTGTTGGGCCTTCCAACAACGATCCCCCTCCCACCCCCCCCCCCCCCCCCAAAAAAAAAAATGCCACGTCTTCCATTTCGCAGTTTTCATTCTAAACTGGTCAAGGAAAAAATTATCCGGCTCCACCTTTTACCTTCTCACGACAAATCTTGTTTTCACTTAGTTAGCATTGCATTGCAAAACAACAAGAACACCTTCTCAAAGCTGGATATCCGCAAGATGTACTGAGTGCTATTCTTGGCATTCAGTACATCTTGCCATATTTTCACAACTCTGCCCACCGACTGAAGGGAATAGCAGCGCGGTTTAACACTACAGTTGCTTTATTCTGCAAGTTGCACATAAAGCGAACTTTGCATAAGAGTGAACAACAACGAAGCCCCCAAAGGATGTGCCATCAAACATGCCAATTTGACCGTTCCTTGTGAAGAGCGGGTGGTATACTAAATCCCCTTTTTATGCGGTGATCGATACATTGGTCAGACAGGACGCCGCCTAAATACCCGCTTAAAGGCAGGACTTCACAGGAGAATATACTGCAAAAAGTCGACGAATTTTGCCCTGTGGCTTTTGCTCTGCGCGTGGCATCAGCACAGTGTCTGCTACGTCGCGCGCAAAGCGAGCGTGCCGTCGGCCGACGTTCTTTAGTTATTCGTCACCAGCATAAATGGGAAACACAAGAACAAGCTCGGCCGAGAGGTTGTTGAAGCCTATAGGATATCTGGTAACGAACACAACATCGATTGTCCTTCCCTTGAGTTGTACAAGATTGAGATCAACTACCTTAAGCCAGAACCGAGTTAGTCAATTGAATTGAATCTGTTTGAAGCCAGAACTGAATTTATCGATGATTTTTCTTTTTTATCTCCGCCAATTTTTTCTTATCTTCTTTTTTTTTTTCGGGGGGCTTTCACTACCTACTTTTTCGGTTTAATAGGGTGTGAGGGAGGAGGCACATATTCAAGGAGACATCAGCAGGTGTTCGTCCTAGTTGAACGAAGTGTGCAGTCTGTCCTTAACCCCAAATGACTTTATTATTTCTTTGATTGTTGTGTCTTAAGTTGCATCCAAATGGCGGCTCACCTTACGCTGGTTCCTGGGCAGCTCTACAGCCTGCATATACGCCTCCCCGGTGGACATTGGGACGAGCCCCGCAATCATCTCCAGGGTGGTAGTCTTGCCCGCGCCGCGCACACCCAGCAGGCCGAAGCACTCGCGAGGAGGCAGCGCCAAGTAGAGACCCCTGACCACATGGCGCTTTTCGTGCCACTTGTGCAGGTTGCGTACCACCAGGGCGTGCTCCGAGAATGCCTGCCTCGCCTGGAGGTCCTCCACCTTCTCCTTCTCCAGCTCCACGTCCTGGTCCATGGTTCGCGCGTCGGCTTCGCCCTCACCGGTCATCGCGGTCCGCCCGTGTCCTGAGTCCATCCAGCCCAGGAAGCAGAAGAGCACCATTCCTTCCAAGAGCATCACGACCACGTCCACGCCGACGCCGTAACCGTCGAGGCTTAGGGTATTCAGGGGCTCCCATTCCTTCCAGGCGTCCGTACGAGCAACTGCGCGGTCAACGCGGGGTCAATCACTTCTTTTGACTTCGCAGTGCAGTAGACACAAGAAACTCCCATCGATGCTGGAGACTCCATGCAAAGTGGGCGGCATTACAGACCCGGCTTGCTAGGAAGAACGTCTCAGCTCGGGCTGGGCAAAAGAAAGCACTGCAAAGCCAGCGCACAATCCGAGCGCCACTCAAATCGCATCTTATGACGCTCGCGTGCCCCAGAATGTGCAGCGCTTTCTTTCACTCAGATTCAGCTCAGACGGTTTCCTAGTAAGCCGGCCCAGGAACACGACGAATAAGGAAGTCGAGTCCATGTGCTAAGCCTTTCACCTGCAACGACAATGGGACTCACACCAGATTTTATCAGCACAACTCCGAAACGGACGCATCACTCGACTTCGTGTGGACAGAGTGCCTTCCTGTTCGCTTTGCCTAGAGTGGTGCCATATTTTGTAATACCACTTGCCAACAAACCAATGTTGTGAGACTGGTTAGCCCGCTGTTTTCGTCAGCCGTTTTGTAACCGGGGCTAATCCCCGTTAGGGCCATCTTCTTGGTCAGCAAAATGCGATCCTCGCCCATGCGAGCCCTACAGGCGCGATGTCAGCGTGCTGCATTCCGTTTTGTTGCGGAAGGTTCAGACATGGGTGCGAAGTTGTACCGATCCACACGAGCGAAGCCAGAACGGAGGACGGCGTGGATGTCTCAGATCAGGAGTAGGAGGCCTCTCTGGGAGCTGACGCGTAACTCGCTAGTCCGCAATGTAAGTACCAAAATTGTCGGTCCTGAGTGCGCGCAGTGTCGCGAAGTAATGAAACTATAGGGAGTATTCACTGGCGGCCATATCCGTGTGCGCTGCTGCTGAGCGCCTGCTGACAGCGAGCTTCCGCAGTCCTTTTGGAGCGTGTATTTAGCAGCATCAAGGTTTCCGGTCTTAGCAAGCTATTAATGTGAGCTCGTTCTAAGCATGCGCTCTAAACATCGCCCTCAAATATGGCGTCCAGTGAATACCTCCTATACTTTGTCTCAGCTCTGGCCGCTCTCGGTGGCTGCGCGAGCGCTCGCGCGTGGCGAGCGCCAGTTAGGGCAGTCAAGGCTAGCGTCTCGCGCTGGCGCAGCCTTGGCGGTTAGTCCATGCTAAGGTGAGACGAAGTACAGGGAACACTATATCCATATATCAAACAACGTGGCCTCGGGTCTTGGCCGTCGAGGCAGCGACTACACTCGGGGACCACTTTCTGCGGGCGAGACGCCCGCGCGCTCGCGTTCATAAGCGCTACTTTGCGAAAGCGATGGACGCGCAATATTCGCCGTTCTTTAACTGCCCTAAAATACCGTCCGCATTTTCTGTACATCGCTCCTCAACGATTCAGGTGCGATCTACAGAAAATGTGCCACCTGGCGTATAGGAAGGCCTCCCTCCGATACATGTACCGTTAATAACAGTGGACCGGCTTCATGAGAACAAGTATTCACTGCCTTGTCTCGCAGAGAAAAATATAATAAAAATCCGCAGCTCACGTGAGGCCATATAATACAAGTACTGTGCCAAAAAAAGTTAAACCACTTGTCTGTTTTACTTAGTTCTATACGAATACCAAATTCGTCTGAAACGTCGAATTGCTATTTGATCCAGCATGTTGTAGATGAAACCCATGCATCTAGGGCCTATGCATACGTAGGAACTCTTTCACGCTGTGCTGTGTTTAGAAACCTGGCATACCTTTTCAGAAGCACTTGGAAAAATCCTGTTTTAAGGACAGGGGAGCAGATGGGTGGCAGCGTCTGAAACTGACTGCCGTGCCAACATTGTTCTCCTTCTAAAGTGTGCAAAGTGACCATCTCAACCCACTGAAACAAGCAATACCTGTGTGCGGAAAGACAACATGCGCCGCAGTTGGCAAGTTTTCAGAATACCCCAAAGGCTCCTGTTCTGGTGTCAAATGAAGTTAACCAAATCAGTGTTATTTAGTGCCCCTTGGTATATATACAAAATAAAACAATGACAAACAAAAAGATACCAGCTCTTTTTACAATTTTATTCTTATCTGAGCTGTCAACAATATTTAAGGCCACCAATATTCCCCCTCTTCTTCACCAAATTTTTCATGTGGCCTTTATTGTGAAGGATTTACTTTTCATGACACCCGTTGTAATTAGTATGTTCCCATTCAATTTCTTCCAGCTTCTCAAAAAATGCACAAGCTAGCAAGCCCCAAGAAAGATGCAGAGCAACAACACCACGGGCCAGCCGGGGATTCATCAAGTTTGCCTGGAGAGCCGGGAGCCGCATCAGAGTAGCCCTGCTGCGAGCAACAAAATTTGCTTCCGGAACTTGAATCTAAGCACTGCCTCCAAAAAAGGGTCGCACCGATGGACTGCTTGGAACCTCTCATGAATCACCCTTCCAGGCCTCAATTGACGGGACATTTCCTAAAGAGGTATGTAATAACACTTCAAATGAGTGCAGAACCACACGAGATCATATGTCAGCAACTCCTTCAGCAGCGTTTGTGCAAGATGACCTCATCCCTGAAGATGATTCTGTAGATCTGGTGGCAAGAGGTTTGGCTACTTTATCGCCTGACGATGACGCACCACTCAAAGATCCAGTGACGAACCCCTCAAGCTTGCCTGCAACAACGAAGCCGCAGCAAAGTAGCCCAAGTACAAGCAACAGAATACGCTTCGGCAGCTTATATTCCAGCGCAGCCAGCAAAGAGATTGCCTCCATGGAATGCTTAGAACCACAGACGATTCACTTATTCATCCCTCGGCTGCAGAGGGCAATTCATAACGAAATCAGGAATGACACCTCGGTTGGATGGAATCCTGCAAGACTTCAACTTCATACGTTAGAAACCACCTCGGCAACGCTCAATTAATCAATCAATCAATCAACCAAATGATCAAACAGTTAATTTTTTTCTTTCAAGGGGTACATACTCCTTGAAATGGTACCTTGGCGCAAACGGCGATCGTGTCGCCTGACTGGGCACCAAGGTCCGATTGGGGGGGGAGGGGGGGGGGAGGGGGGAAAGTCCAACAGCAACGACACTAAGGATTAAACCTTGAAAGAGAAAAAATACTTATACAAAATATAGTGGATACACACACACACATACACACGAGGTAATGGATGCACAGCCATTATAAAATTGTAAAGAAGGAGTACTAGCATACATTAATGTTGTTTATGCTAACATTGTCGTAAAAACAAAGATTAAAAAGTAATGTAAGACATCAAGCAAACAAATAATTAAATAAAAAAAAGCTTTCTGTATAAATGACAAAAGTGAAGAAGCTAGATTACACATTCATGAATTCGAGGCAGATAGAAAAATAGCAATAAGATAACCGCACCTCTGAGGATGACTGCATTCCTAAAGATGACCACATTTCTGAGGATGACGGGGTCTCTGAAGATGACCGCATGGATCTGGCGCCAAAAGGTGCAGTCGAAACTACGCCACCACCTGACCATGATTTACCACCTGACACGAAATCCACACCGGACAGAATGTCAACACGAGCAGGAAACCTCTGTTGCCGTCAGCTAAAGAAAACCATGAGTGATACTACCAAGAAGTACAAGAACCTCCAACTACATCATGAAGCTGCAAAGAAAGAAATCCGCGCCCTGAAGAAGGAATTAAAGAGCGGAGAGCAGCAACTTTGCTGGCTTCAGGATCCACAGTTCTTGGCTGATGACGAAAGAAAGGTACTCACCAGAAAAACCAGCAGGGGAATGCCATGGTCTATGCCGACCGTGAAGCAAGCTCTCCAAGTTAAGTTTGCCTGCGGCACGACGGGCTACAAGCTGCTCCGAACCGTCGGCTATCCGCTTCCTAGCACCACAACTCACATGAGAAGAATGCAGAGTTTTTTTTCTTTCTGGCCTGGGATTCTCCAAGAGGTTTTCAATGTTTTGAAGAAGAAGGCCAACACAATGCACAAAAGTAAACGAGACAGCGTGTTGTTCCCAGACGACATGGAGATTGACGAAGGCATTCAACAACACCAAGCTCAGGAATGTTTCCTTGGGTCCATCACACTTCCACCAAGAAATGATGCCTCAAATCGCGTTTTGGTGTTCATGTTGGGAGGAGTAACAAGTCGGTGGAAGCAGATAGTGGCCTACCAATTCACGGGGCGGTCGCTTGATGGCAAGCTTCTCAATGTCTTCGTTCTGAAGCTCGTGCAGTTGGCTTCTGAAGCAGGGTTGAACGTTCTTGTGGTGACATGTGACATGGGTGCGGCGAACCGGGCTGTGTGGCGAGAGCTAAATTGTTTGAGCACAAGAGACGCGGATACAGTGGTCAGCATTCCCCATCCGTCCCTTCAAGGACGCCGTCTTTATTTTATGGCGGATTTGGCTCACTTGGTCAAAAACATTCGATGCCAGTTTTTGCGCTCGACTCTTTTTTTTTCTTAGCGAGGACATTGTCAAAGAAAACGGCCTTTCGAGCGACACCATCAAGCCTTAAGTACATAGAAACATCCCTGGGTATTGGCAGAAAGAATGACCTTAAGGTTACCCCTGGCTTATCGGATGTTCACCTAATTCAGGGGCCCTTCACCAAAATGAAGTTGAATATCGCTGTCCAGTATTTTCGAGACGCACCGGCTGCCATTCGGTACAGGGTCGATCAAGGCCAGCTCCCACTCGAGGCAGAAAGCATTGCTTGGTTCTGCGAGCTGGTTTCCAGATGGTTCACTTTGACGTCGTCAAGACATCCTGTTGTGGCCGTCAATCACCTTGACCTAGAGCAGCATCAGACTGCCATTCGCACGCTTGATCGGACTGCACAGACGTTCAGGCAAATGAAGATGGGTGTCACGGCCCACCGGAAGCCTTCGCAAGCAGGGGTCATATCTTCAACAGCAGTTGTCTATCAACTTCAAGAAGTTCTGCTCAACGATCATGGGTATGCGCACCTGCTCACGGGTCGGCTGACTCAAGATTGCCTTCAGAACGTGTTCGCTGTCGTTCGACTGAAGAAACTGTGTCAAATGCATTAGAATTCAAGCGCGCTCTTCGCATTATTTCTGTTAGCCAGTTCGTCCACATGCCCAAAACGCCTGGCTACACAGTAGATGGTGGGGA